ATATATGTGTGTGTGTATGTGCGCGTGTATGTATGGATACGTTTTTTATAATAAAATTGTACTTGCAGTTAATATACTATTAATAAAATAAAATGCCACTTAAGTGCATTAAAGGAGAGAAATTGTATTTCATATCAATTTAAACTATAATATATTTTCATTTAATTGTAAATAACATGCAATTGTGTCAAATATTTAGTTCACACTTAATAATATTATTTTAAAGTTGATTATTTCTGTAAAAAGTACTCTTTTTTTAAAAGTGCAGTATGTTAAGTGTACTGTTTTCCAATGTACCCGTTAGGGGAAAACTGAAAAGCAGAAAGCTAGAAAATAGGACTTTAAATATGTGGCTCAGAGCATCTACATAATTTAATGGCTCATAATGACAAAGTTGAGATTGTAAGGACTTATTTGGTAGGAAATGAGGCCATCAGCCAACAGAGATCAGGCACAGGGCTCTTCGCTGGAGGCCAGTTAGGGAAGACCTCATCAATCCAGTCTGGCAATCGTACAACATTCCCACGCCACCGCCGGTAGAAAACAAAGCCCTGAGCAATTACCCAAAATGACCACTTTACTGGCAGACCATAGTAAACTGAGTATCAGCACGTGGAAAAATTACCAAAATGTTTACAATTATCATCCGAAATTAAAGAGGAAATTATTGTCTTTCGGCTAAAAGTCATGTTTTGCTTGGCACATCCAGTTCTGTTGGGGTGTTTGTTTGGAAAATTGCATTAGTTCTGGACGACTTGTTTCTAACAGATGTGTGGGTGTTGATTTGCAAAGCTCAGGTTGGAGAGTTGTTATTTTCATGTCAAGTAATTTTTCAGGAGTCACGGTCATCATATTTTAGGAATATTTACAGTAGGCATCAGCAATGATTCGAGATGCGTTTCCCATCAGTGAAATCTCTGAACCTGTCGCTCTTGCTTTATTCGCTAAATGCACAACTTCTACTTTCGAAACTGACGTGAGGTGTTCGTCTGAATCACTGTCTACACAATTCTCTGCTGA